GGGTTCAGTCGTAAAGAATCCACCTGCTGATGCAGGACACACAAGACACGGGTTGGATCCCTGTGTTGGGAAGATCTCCCAGAAAAGACAATGACAACCCACTCCAGTATTCTTGCCTGGAGAATCCCATGGACAGAGGAACCTGATGGGCTACATACAGTCCATGGGGTCACAAAGAATCAGGCAGGCAAAACTGAGTGACTAACACTTTCACTTTATAATACTATAGGCTAAGTGCTGATATAAATCAGTTTCTACCTACCACATTATGGATATACATCATGGTTACGTATAAAGGTAAATTCTAAAAGATGGTCATTAGTGATAAAAGCGAGTAATTTTTTTTATACTTTTATGCATTTATGCATTTAAGTTTCTGATTGCATTGGGTTTGTTGCTGTGCGGGATTTTCTTTAGCTGCGGCGAGCGGGGGGCTGCTCTTCACCGCAGTGCGCAGGCTTCTCATTGTGGTAGCTTCTCTTGTTGCGGAGCACTGGGCTCCATGGCTCACAGGCTTCGGTAGTTGCAGCCCATGGGCTCAGTACTTGTGGGTCCCGGGCTCTAGAGCACAGGCCTGGTAGCTGTGGCTCATGGGTTTAATTGCTTCATGGTATGTGAGATTTTCGTAGACCAGGGAATGGAACCCATGTCTCCTGCATCGGCAGGCGCATTCTCTACTACTGAACCATCAGGGAAGCCCCAAGTGTGATTTTTTTTTTCTCTTCTAAGAACATTCTATTACTTTTCTAGTTGAAACAGTTTTATTTTAGAGCACAGTTTATAGACAATACCAAAATACAGATTTTGCAAACAGAAAGCAGTTTGCTTGTTGTTGTCTTCATATGGAAGAGCCTAAAAGTGATTTTTCAATCCCAAGTGGCACTTATTTTCAAAGTAAGCTCAAGAACTCAGTGAAAGCCATTTCAGTTGTTTAATAATGAAAGTAAAGGCACTATGGCCTCACCTTCTTCACCCACACTACTGTCATCATTAGTATCATCCATTATTAGGATAAGGAATATAATATTGGGCTAATAGCAGATCATGGCATCTTGCTTGTGTGAAAAATAACAGGCCAACTGAAAGTTTTGTGATGATGACATAGTGGCTTTAAAAATTATTTTTTTGTTGTTGAATATGAGGTGAGAGCTAGGGAAAGTATATAGTTTAAGAAAAAGAAAAAGAAAGTTCTATTTTTGGCTTTTCTACCACTGACTCACAGTGTTAACTTGAACCAGTGACCAACTTTTGTGTATTAACTAAGCCTATCCACACAAGAGGCTTAGTGAATAGACAAAAATGAGAAAATGCTTCAGCTTCCCTATTTGAGGGCTGGAGAACTGCTGAGATCACTTATATAAATATTTTTCTTTGAGCTCCCTAGAAGACAGGAACTTTATAAATATTTAGTCTTATTGTTGCACCTTAGGTACAAGTAGACAGGAAAATTATGATACTCCCATATTTAACTAAGAAATAACCTAGTTCAGACAATCCTGGTTCATACCAAGGACTTTGCACTGGCTTGTTAGGATCTCTTGAGCTTTCATTTTTCCATCTTCCTCCCCCCCCCCACCCCGCCCCTTGCAGTTGACAAATGTGGAAATATAAATAAACCTTCCACAGCAGCGAGGTTTCCAAGGTAAGGAAGCCCAGCATGGATTCTGTCACACTGGCTGATGGCAAGCTGTGTATCAGAATGGGTGAGGATTCAAAATAAACATCTCATTTAAAATTCCTGATTGAAAAGTGTGAGAAAATGACTCATTTTTAAGAATGAATAATTTGGTTGAATGTACTGAACTCAAGTCAGACCTCACTGAATCTCTTTTCTGTTTCTTTTTCAGATACATGTGTGTAGAGAAGAAACCTAAAAAAAGTGTGACTGGAACTGGCATGGTTAGAGTCATTCATTATTTCAAGTGGAGTTTTGCAAAATTAATTCACCTGTTTCTTTGCAAATTCCTTTTCAACAGGCTCTTCCTTCAATGTTTTAATGGCGCTAGGTTCTGGAATGATGTTCTTGGAATGCATACAAGGGTTATTTTTGGATGGCGGAATTTCAGGTGATTTTTTTAAAGTTTGCTTTCTTACTCATATTTTCCTGTATTTCCTGACCTTTAGCTTTAAATAAGAAAGAAGTATTATTTTTACAAAAAACTCAATGGTGAATAAATTTGAAACCCCTTGCTACTGATTTTACTCTCTTCTTGGCCATATATCCTGAGTTTTTAATGGACCAGTGCTTTCTTCCTGCTCTCTTTAAGGATTTAAAACAAGCAGTTGTACAGTAATTAATTTCCAACTGGGAAACAGAGTTTATGAAATTGAGTGGGGAGATAATTTTGATCCAGGAAACCCACGCAGCGTATAAAGCACACTTAGATAAAATTGTCTCTTTTGTCTTCATTTACTGGGGTAATTCAAGCCAAGGGAGAATGGATCTCTTAAAGCTAAATTATGCTAATAATGTTCTGTTGATCTAATCTCAAGATGATTCTATTAATTTTAATAGTTCTTGAGCACTCAGCATGCTTTAGATGCAATGCCAGTTACAGACAAGCAACAGGCAATAATTTCACATTCAACAATCTTACTTGATGAAAGAATAAAACCATTTATTTTTGTGTATCCATGTGTGGTCATCTTTTCTATTTTTGCCTTAATACCAGGGCAGAGCAGAGCATTTGATCACATCTAGGGGGCCAAGCTTTCCCTCCACAGCCTATCTTTGTTAAGAGGATGCTTCCAGAAGGATCTGAAATGCATCTATTTATTCTTCCTACAAGTATTTATTAAGCACTTATTGCAAGGTGGTCCATATTTTGGGCAATGGGTTAGAATAAGGAACCAGAATCTGTTTCTGATCTAAAAGGCTGTTGAAGGAAACTGTCTACAAACAGACACTGAAATGTTAGGAGTACCATCACGAGGTCTGAAGCGAACATTCCATGGACATCAGTACCACTGTGTAAGGGTCAACGCAATCTGATGGAAATGTGGGAAGGAGGATTAGAAAATACTTCAAAGAATGGAGAGAAGAAAAGGCAGGTGTGGCAGAGCATGAGCAATCTGAAAAGGCAGAGTGATGGGAGACAGCGGGGCTCTCTTTTAGGATTCTAGAGGCAATTTTTATGTGTCCTTCGAGTGGGAAATGAGTGGGTGATATGAGAGTGATTGATGGAAGGTAAAGCCAGAACAATAAACAGAGATCAGACTCTAGATGTGAATTTGGAATTTATCTAACACCCCTCCCCCCACCGAGGAAGTAGATGTAACCACATGTTCCAGGCTCCTCTATGCTAGGAATAAAAAGTAGGGTCACCAGAGAGGAAGTTTGCCTTTGATCATTCTGGAGTGACATAGCTCCGTTGCAGTCCCTGTGTTTCATGCAGCACCGAGATTGGCTCTTCTTGGTCTCTGCGCCCACCTTTTGTTCCTCCCTGCATACTCCTCTCCGCTTCCTGGCTAGAGCCACAGCAATAACCACACCCCTGTTCTTGTAAAATCTCAGTTCTAAGGAGGAAATTATTAGTTTGCTGAAGTTGATGCTGCTGCCTCGGATGTCTGCCCAGGGAGCTACTGTTGCTGCTCTCAACGGCTCAGTTCCTTTAAGTCTTCACAGGCTCTTATTTCTTGCTTTGCCCCAAGGTTTGAACACTTCTCTGGGCTATTGTCATTGGCTAAACCTAGAGATTTCTGTCCCCTCTCTCCTTGGGATGAGTCCCTTCTCAAGCAATTCCTTAAACTCCCTGGTAAGCAGATCTACAGGAAGGCTGCCTTCTGGAATTAGTCAAATATGCCTGAATCTTTGGGAGAGCACAGTTCTGATGCATGCTGGTAACTCTGGGAAAGTCACGGGAAAAGGAGCGGGAAGAGAAAACAAGAGCAAGAAAAAACAGGCTGAAACCTGACTCTAAGAGAGAAAGTAGGCAGCTTGTGTGGGGCTTCCAAATGCAGAGCAAACAGCACCGTGTGTATATTCTTCTTGCCCATGCTGTTCTCATCTGCTATCTGCTCTTATTTTTATATTCTGTATTATTTGTATCTTATGAGCCACCTTAGAACGTTTTCTGAAACATGGCAGAATATAAATAAATGAATAAAGAAGGTAATTTGTAGTTACACTGAGTAATTAGCATTCTGAAGGCTGGAGTGATGTGGGTAAAAGTGGAGGCAAAAACACTTTTTGACAAACACGAATATGACCAGAACTTGAAATAGGAAGACTTCAAATTAAACTCCCAAATGATGCTTCAACCTTGACCTACTCTGCTAATGACTGAGTATTTTGGCAGAATTTGTCAAAACCAAACCAAATCAAACAAAAACCAGGCATAACGAGGCAAGCGTCAGGTCTCTGACTCCCAGCGTCAGGAACCAAAAGCGCTGGAGGAGGTGAACCGTGGGCTTAAGAGCATCGCTGGTTACAATGGTTTCCCATGCAGCGAATATCGAGATGTTAAGCAGTTACCCTGGAAGGGACTTTCTCTCGCTTGCTGCCCATCAAACCCAGGATTAGCCCTCTGATTACTCAGGTCCTCGCCTCCTCTGCTGAACTGAGTTTGCCCTCCCTCAGCAATCTCTGATTCTCTCCCGGGGATCCCCGCCCCCTGTTCCCCGCGACGGGCCCACACTGTCCAGGCAAGCGCTAGGACTCCGCGCTCCTTTCCTGCTGACCCCCGGCCCTCGGCTTCTGCCTCCTCCTCTCCTCTCCCAGGACGCCCGTCCCTGCGCTCCCCGCCGAGTCCGACCTCGGGGACCAAGTCGGGGGCGCGGGGCGGCAGGTGGATGGGCTGGAAGGGCGGGTCGCGGAGGGAGTCGGAGGGAGTCCGCCCGCGGACGGCCCGGGGCTGGGAGGCAGAGCGGGACTGCGGCCCCTCCCGGCGGGCGGGCCGGGGGGCGGTCCCAGGCCGCCCGCTCGCGCCGCCGCTCCGCGTGCGCCCTCCGCGCTCCAGTCGGCGGGAGCCCAGGTGCCCGTGGGCTGGACGCGCCCGAGGATGTGCGGCTGGCCGCTGCTCCTGCTCTGGGGGCTGCTCCCCGGCGCGGCGGCGGGGGGCTCGGGCTGGCCCTTCCCGCACCGCACGCTCCTCGACTCCGAGGGCAAGTACTGGCTGAGCTGGGGCCCGCGGGGCGGCCGGCTCGCCTTCCGCCTCGAGGTGCGGACCGCCGGCTACGTGGGCTTCGGCTTCTCGCCCACCGGGGCCATGGCCGCGGCCGACATCGTCGTGGGCGGGGTGGCCCGCGGGCGGCCCTACCTCCAGGTAAGCGCGAACAGACCCTCCTGCAGCCGCCCCGCCGAGTCCCCCGGCCGGTCCGGATTCCCGGCAGGCAGGCGCGGTTGGGGGGCGCCCCGGGCCACCCGGCTTTCTCTCCGGCGGAGGCTGGCCGCCGTCGCCCCCGTGGCCCCTCAGCCCCAGCCCGTCTTCCGCTACCCTTGCGATCCGCTCTGGCACCCCGGATTCCAAGGCCCCTGGGGCTGGACTCCCCAGCTCCGCCGCCGGGCTCCCGGGAAGCTGAACGAGGTAACCCTAGGCAGCTTTCCGTCTCTGAACACTTTCCTGTCCAGCGCCCCACTGAGTACACGCCCCACGTGCACACCTGCCCCGCATCACCCGTCATCCCTGATGGTTGAGAGGGACCCCGGCTTTGGGGATCTACGGACGGCTCTCGGGGTTGAAGGGACCGGAGAGTTTTGGCATTTGCTGTCTGGAATCGCGGATCTCAGAAGGCTTTTCTGTAGCTTCCCAACTCTGGGGCTGGGTCAGCTACCTCATGCCAGCAATGAATGAAAGGTCCCCAAGAATCCTCAGGAACTTGCTATTGGGAGCTATTTAGGAAACTGCGAAAAACTACAAAACCTGAAGTCTTCAGGCAAAACCCCATCCGTTTCACTTACTTTCAGTTCAGTTCAGTCGCTCAGTCGTGTCCGACTCTTTGCGACCCCATGGACTGTACGCCAGGCTTCCCTGACCATCACCAACTCCTGGAACTTACTCAAACTCCTGTCCATCGAGTCAGTGATGCCACTTACTTTATTTAATAGCTAACAAAATTAAATTGACAGCTACCGTTTTGCTTTGACAGAGCCAGAGTAGAGTTGTTGCCCGTTCACATCTATTTTAATGAATAGGAAAAAAATTAAAAAAAAGAATTGAGATGATCGGAATGATTAGATGCTCAGGTTCTTGGACATTTTTGTCCGTTTGACTTTGACCAACATTTGAACACGATATGATGTAATATCGTGGTGAATATAGTGTTGCTTATCAAAGTTCATCCAAAATTACTGCCCTTTGCCACAAGTCTCTTAATCCATATGAAAGCTAGTTCTTCTATGTATTAAGGCTTTGATGATATTAAAATCGATGCACCCGATGGATTCCAAAGAGCATTTCTCAGTAATTTTATTTCTAACGTCTAAGCTTGATTGCCACGATGTTCTGCCATCAATTTTTAATGCTAATTCTGGCAATGAGCTATTAACTCTGGCTAGAAATTTTAAAAATGACAGCAATAAAAACTTTAAAACCATTCTGTTGTCTAGTTTTTCATAAATTAGTCTTTTCCTCCCCCAAATAAGCACAACTCCAATAAAGTAAAGTTTTATGAGAATTACACTGTTGAAGTCATTGATGTATAAATTTACTCCTCCTGCAGCATCTCAGACATTAAATTTGTAAACCAAGAATTTGACTCCAAAGACAGGCCTCACTAGCTGAGTAACTAGCTCTCTTCTGATATGAAGTAAACAGTAAACTAATTTATTGAGCCACATCTTTTTGCTTGTCTATTTTTTATTTTAGGATGGGCAGGATCAAATGCCCCTTAACTATCCTTAAATGTTTTGTTGAAGGGAGCATGGAAAGTCTTACTTTAGTGATATGATAAAACATGTATACTTTAAAGATAACTTGATATTGTTTTTCTCCAAGAGTAGCGTTTCTAGAAAGCCCATCCAGTTTGATATCAAATGAAAGACTAAGAGCAGAATTCTGTTTCAACATGCTATAAGGGGCACACCGCAAACATAATTTGTTAAACTACAGTATTTCCACACTGCGGGTAGCTCTTTGTAAAGATCACATAAGAACTAATTAAGTGCCCTTTAGATGGGTTTTGAAATGTTGAACTTAAAGTAATTGCTGAACACATAACACTGTTCAGTAAGCCTTGGATATGGACCTTTTCCCAATATATTTAATGAGCAAGAAGTAGAACTTTCCTCTCTATTTTTATTCCTAAGGAAATGGAATTTTTATTTTCATGTATAAAGGATTGTCATTTTCTCAGTTGACCAACATCCTTTACTACTCCATTTTTTTAAGCACTGGTGGAGAATTTGCATGCCAGTGCAGGAAATTCGAGAGACTGGTTCGATCCTTTGGGTCAGGAAGATCCCCTGGAGTAGGAAATGGCAAGCCACTCCAGTATTGTTCCCTAGGGAATCCCATGGACACAGAAGCCTGGGGCTTCAGTCTGTGGGGTTGCAAAGTGTTGGACACAACTGAACACATACACAGCACAGCCCAGCCCACTCATTTTAGGACCTATAATATACAATAAAAATTATGCTTGGCAGTTAAGTAGAAAGAAAATTTATTAAAAATCTTTTTAACAAAATGAAAGACCCCAGACACTATAAATAAAAAAGAAATGTATCAATTCCAGCTGGATCATCCAGGTTGGGAGATTCTATTTTCCAACACTTGAAATTGTGTCTTCTCCCAAAAGCTACTAATTTGAGATTCTTTGTACAGTGAGTGGTATCTTCAGCTCTACCAAAAGGTAAATAAAGTTCTTAAACATTGTGTATGTGATTCCATTAGGAAACTTTGATTTTCATGTAATTTTATTTCCAGTGAGAACAAACTTTGCATGAAACAATACAACAAAAAGCATTGCTTCTGGGGCAATGGCATTAAACTGTATGATGACTGATGACAACCTAAGTTGATGTCCAAGTCACCTTCCCTTGTGGCTACTTTCCATATGTATTATTTCATTCTTTCTTATTTAATTAGAACACTTCACCTTTAGGTATTTTATTGTTATTCTGACTTTTAGTTTTTCTGATGACACTAAGACTCTTCAATAGAATTTTAACTCCTGGATAACTATGTAAGACTAAATCCCAACCAGCCAGGCAGAGAATTGTTGGTGAAGCAGATGTCATAAACCCAAATCCATACAGAGGTCAGGAAGCAAATGTAAAACAGTGAGGAGACTCGAGTGGAAATGGCAGTATTGTGATGCAGAAGAGTAGAGGGGATGGAAGAAGCCCCAGTTTTCGCATGTGAATTACTGTTATGTGGGAATGCAAATCAAGTATTGCCAGATCTTCTGTTTGTTTTTTGAGAGAAGACAGATGTGTGTGTGTGTGTGTACAAATCTATACAAATCTGATTAGTAAATAGCAGCCACAATTCAAGTTTGTATAACACACCCTGTTTTGCATATATACACACATGATTTCAGTTGAGATATATCAACAGCTTGATCTGGGACCAAGAGGGAAAAAGCTAAAGTGAATAAAGAATCAACCCAAATTATGAAAACTGGTGAAAGGCTGAGAGGCAGTTTCCAATTCTCTTCAGGCCCCATTTATTCTGTGTTAGGAAATGTTCAGTGTTGGAGGGGACCTTGCCCCTCTTTTGGTTATCTATCACTGCGTAATAAATGACCCCCAAACATGGTGGTTGGTTTTGCTCACAAAGCTACTATTTGAGCAGGGCTTGGTGGTGCCAGGTCTTCTTTGCTTCACTTGGTGTCCACTCCAGGGTGAGTCACTGAATCATCTGGAGGCTCTCTCACTGGTTTTTCTGACTGGTGGCCCAGGTACTGCGGTGGGAGCGTGGCCTGTCCATGCAGCTGCCCGCCTTCCTCCCAAAAGTGGCTGAGTCCCAGCAGTGAACATCTCAAGAGGCCCAAGTAGAAACTGTGTGGCCCTTTATCATTTAGCCTTGGAGTCCTGGACTGTGTCTTGTGCTGTGGTCCCAGTGCCTCTGGATTCAAGAGGAAATGTAGATACCACCTCGACATCCCACTGTGAGGAGGTCACATGGGAGGAGAAGATATTAGTGTGGCCATCTTTGCAAAATCCATGCAACCACACTCATTCTCGCCACCCTGTCAATCTCCCTTCAACCACCACTTCCAAGTACCTATTACCGTGTATCCACTCTCTCTACACTGCTGAGATGGGGAGGCAAGCGTTTACTTATTCACCTCTTTTTTACTCCCTCATGCTTACACACACACACACCACTCACAAGAAGTTAGTGAATAGTTGTCTTCCTCTTCCACACTCTTTCCACCCTCCCCCCGCCCCCCAAAAAGAGTTCTAAACCCCGGCAACCCCAGATTTGTCAGTGGTTGCGTCACTAATTCAGGACTGGACCCAATGAGACTACCTCCAGGGGGCAGTGCGACATTTGCTTGTAGATGGAAATACCAGATTTTGATTCCGTTGCCTCAAGGCAGTATACTGGCTTGGACACTCTTAAGACTACACTGAGATGAGGTATTATGGGACTTGGCCTGCGTGTTTTGTAATCCTCCAACCCCGGAGCAGATGTTTCTTTAAAGGGCGTGTAACCAGGTACCATCAAAACGGGAAAGAAGAGAAACGTGGTTGTGGAGTAAAGCCGGTCCCCGGATAAGTTGTTCAGGTGGGGACCTGGTACTCCTGGGATGATGCTGCGGTTGGCCTCCAGACGCTGTGTTTAGCTGCCAGGGGTGGGGGTGGGAAGCCATCTTGCCTCTCGCCTTGGCTTTGGAACGCCTCCCTCTTCTGTCTCAGTGAATTAACTCAGTGCTTACTTCCCGGGTGGATTCTGTCCTCTTCTTGTACTTTGCCCCTTTCTGACACAGAGCAATCCCACCCCCATCCAAGCCACTTAGCAACTGTCGAGTCGCCATTTGGGGGAAGTAATCCGGGTTGATGAATGCCTAGTTTGTGCGGCTTGGAGGAGAGGGCAGCATTGTCAGATGTGCCTGTTGAAATCTGCACAAAAATGAATTCACTCGTCCTTTGGGGGTGTAAGTTGCTGGGGAATGGAGGCAGAAACCGATGTCATCATTTGTTACAACCTCGCTGGTTGGCTGTTGCCACCGAAACTTTGCTGTGATGAGGAGTCTCTTCAGCAGCGGGGTAATTGCTGCCGGGCTGCTTACTGATTGTGCTGTGATTTGGAATCACAGAAAGCAGTGAGCATTCTTTGTGGTTAGCGATGTGCTTCTTTTAAGTGCACCGCAGCCAACG